CCGCCCCCGCCCCCTCCGCCCCCCTCCTCTCCTCCTCCTCCTCGGCTGCTGCCGTCCCCTCTGTCCCCAGCTTTCCCACTGGGCCTCTCCAGACGGCCCCTCACCCTGGCTGTTCCGTCTTCCGTTGGCCCTCCCTCCTCCAGCAGTTCATGTGCCATCCCTGCCGACCTCTCTGGGTCCGGGTCCGGGCAGAGATCCTAGGGTCCAGAGGGGCGACCCCGCTTGCGCCCAAGTCCCTTTGGGCCCCTGCCCCGGCTGGAACTGCCCGACCTCTCCCCAGCCCTTGCAGCCCCCGATTCCTGGGGTGGGGAGTGCTCAGAGCTGTGATTCTGCAGCCAGGGCTTGGCACCTGGGTTTCCTGCGGTGGGGTCCCCTCGGCTGGGGAAGCCGAGCCCCGCTTCATTGCTGCGCCCTCATACTGCAGAGTGTCCCTCAGGCCCCCAGGTGAAAGCGTTTTTCGGTGCTGGGCCTGTTTGTCTCCATTTCTAATCACCCACACCATGTTCCATGTAATAATGTTCAAGGACAAGGAAACAATCTTGTGTTTTAATATTGTTTTCCCTATCATGGGCCCCTCCCCCATGCACACTTGGCCCGGCTCTGCACAGTTATTCACCCACCCATAGTGAGCAGTGCGCCCTGCAAGTTCGCTGACCAAGCGAATGGACAGTCTTGGGTTTCTCTCTACCCTCTTCCCTCTGCTCCCTCCCATCTTTGAAACAAGCTGGGGCAGGGTCAAAGGTGAGGGGTGGGTGGGTTTTGCAAATGTTGGGCATCAGAGGCCCTTCTTTGGATTCGGCGCTGTCTTCCCTGACTAGGAGTGGGTGACTCTGAGGAAGGCTGTGCCCATTGCCGTTTGGAGGGGGTTAGATTTTCATGTCAGGGGCTCTGTGCATGCCACGTGTTAGGAAACATCCCCCTTCCTTTGGAACTAGAGGGAGGAGCACTCTGTCCCCCAGGCTGGAGAGCCTGGGATGGGGGTGGGGGTGTTGTGGGTGGGATGGTGCTTCGGGAGCCAGGATGAGAACTGAGGAGGTGGTGGAGTGTCTGAAGAGCAGGTGACATGACGGCCCTGTGGGAGTGAGGAATGGTCTGGGGAGAGGGGGAGGTGGTTACCAAGGATGTTAGCTCATTGGTGACCCCGAATGGAATCGTATTCATAATGGCCAACATTTATTGGGCACGTATTATGTGCTAGGCATTATGCTAAGCAGTTTGCATGCATTCCACCCCCCCCCCCAAGTCTCCCAACAGTCACACTAACTCCACTTTTCACCGGGGGAAACCGAGGCTTCGAGCAGTAAGCACTGTGCCTGAGGGCACACAGCTAGAAGGGGGTAGACCCACCCAGCATTGAATCAGACCCCAGTCCCCCTCCTGGTTCAGGCTTAGAGGAGGGACACCCAGTGACTTCTATAGGGCTGTGCCACTGGGTTTAAAATTTTCTTCTGCCCCTCAAAACCCCTCAGGCCAATCCTAGGCCACGAGGGCCACCCCAAGTATCAGCAGTGCCTAGGCTGTGGCTGTCCTACCCTGACTGTCCTAGAAGGGGAAACCCCAGGAGTCTTCCCCCCCCTCCCCCAGGCACCCCACCACCGGATGTTCTCAAGCCCTGTCCCATTCTCCCAGCCCAGCCTGGGCCGGCTCCTCCTTCCTCTTGGCACGGCTCTGGAAATCCAGTGGGAGGCCATTGCTATGGCAACAGGACTAGGCCCTGGCTTTTACCTCATCAAATTCCGTGCTGAAGCCAAAGCAATTGAGAAATTAAAGAAAAAAATGTATTCCAGATGTTTACTTCTTATTCCTTATTTTTCCGTGTTTGGATGAGACGGCTCTGAGGGAGGCGGGATTGGGGCAGGGATGTGGATGGAGGAGGAGGAAGGGGGGAGAGGGAACCACTCCCAGCTGCAGGAGGGAGGGAGGGAAGGAGGGTGAGCGGGAAAGGGAAGGCAGGCTGTGGGGTGGAGCCCCAGGTCGGGGAGGAGCGGGTTTTTCCCGTCTCCCCTGAAGTGATTCACGAAGAGGCTTCAGACTCTGGGGCCTTCTTGCTTTGCCCCTGAGTAGATACCTCGAGCGGGCTGCTGCACCCAAGGGGGGCCCTGGGAATAGTAAGTGGGGTGTCTCGGAGAGCTCAGCAGGGGAGGGAAGAGTAGGTAGCTCCCTGAAGCTCCAGGACTTTGTGGTTAGAAGACCAGAGTTAGAGAGTGATCTGGGAAGAATTGAGGATAGACTGCTGGGGACCTCCCTTGACCTCCCACCCGCTCTGAAGTTCCCTCTTCCTGTCCCACACTCTGCCTCTGCTAGAAGTAGCAGGCTTCCCTTGGCCAAGCCTACTGCCAACGCCCAACCCTCTCGCCTTCTCCCTCTTATTTCCCAGGTCTTTGGCTGCCCCTATTCACACCCTCCGCTTCTCAATTCTCATGCAGGTTCTGCCGAATGTGATGAAAGTGTCTGTTCTCAGGGAAGGCACAGCCATGGCTTCCCCACCACCCCGGGAGATGGAGGAGGAGCTGGTATCTGCTGGCTCTGAGCCAGGTAGGTGCCTGTGGGTGCAGGGTGGAGCCGGGTGGCCGGGAGGGCAGTGAGAGGGGTGGAGGCTGAGCCCGCATTCTGTCCTGGAAGGGGTGGGGGAGTGATGATTCTGTTGAGGTGGGAGGGAGGAGGGCAGGATGAGTTTGAAAGGTTCTCAGTTCCTGGTAAGACCCTTTAGAACAGTTAGAGGTCTTAGATCTACAGCAGATAAGAACAAGCTAACCTTCCAAATGATGTGAGTGTTTTGCGAGGAGGAGGCGGGGGCCTAGATGAGAAATGACGTGTACCTATAGGGATTTGAACCCAGGCCTCCTGGCTCCTGTCTAGACTCCTTTCTTAGGCTGAGCCGAATGAGTGGATGATAGAGGTTTCTGTTAGGAGGGCCGTGGCAATGAGTAATCCCAAGGTCTTTTATTTGGCTTTGGAATGCCTTATATAGAAGGTAGGTTCCTAATCTTGTTTTCTTTTCCTGCGGCAGATTTATTTCTGGGTGGGTTAGGTCAATAATAAGTTTGCATTCCTCATCACACACCTGGGGAGGTGGCCTGGGTGTGTCCTGGGGAGGTACAGCCAGGAGGCAGAGTAGGGAGACTCAGCTGGGATAAAAGGTTTGCTGTGGATGGTAGGAGGGTAGAGTGTCATGTAAGAGGACCGGACTAGATTGGAGAAATGTTGGGCTGAGGGCTCGATTATGGGTAGGTAGCATTTGTTTATTGGCTCATTTTCTCATTCATTCATTCATTCATTCAATAAGAACGTGTTAGATGCAGAGTAGGGTACAGGGACAAATAAGGTGTCAGCTGGACCCTTAAATAGCTTTAGCTTCCAGGAAGGATTGAATAAACATTTTGAGAATTTGGAGACAGAAGGTGCTTCTGGGATAGGTATGGTAAACCAAGGAAGGCTTCATGGAAGAGGTGACATGTGGCTTGTGCCTTGAAGGTTGTCAACATTTTGAGTTAATAGGGAGGAGATGAAGAAGTCTACATCCTGGTTCTTCTGACAGCCTCCCCAACCAACCCTTTCCTTTTGGTAGGTGACCCTCGGGCCAAACCTCCTGTCAAGCCCAAACCCCGGGCCCTGCCTGCCAAGCCAGCCCTGCCTGCCAAGCCCAGCCTGCTGGTGTCTGTTGGGCCGCGGCCACCCCGGGGTCCTCTGGCTGAGCTGCCTTCTGCCCGGAAGATGAACATGCTGGCAGGACCCCAGCCCTATGGTGGCAGCAGGCGTCCCCTTCCCTTTGCACCAAGACCGCCGGCCGAGACGTCTACTGGAGGAGAAGCCACTCAAGAGGCTGGGAAAGAGGAGGCTGGGAAAGAAGAGATGCCTCCGTTGACACCCCCGGCTCGATGTGCTGCCCCAGGGGGTGTGCGGAAGGCCCCCGCCCCCTTCCGTCCAGCCTCTGAGCGCTTTGCAGCCACCACAGTGGAAGAGATTCTGGCCAAGATGGAGCAGCCGCGGAAGGAGGTCCCCACCAGCTCTGACCGCCTCTGGGGCTCCCGCCTCACCTTTAACCACGATGGTAGCTCAAAATACGGCCCCAGGACCTATGGTGTGGCTACTGGTCCTGTGGATGAGGATGGTGGGACCCTCTCCAGGGAATGGTCCCAGGAGGGGCCTGCGAAGTCTCCCACAGAGTGCCCTGAAGAGCACAGCCAGACCCCCGAGGAGAGGTGAGGGGCGGGAGGCTGTTGCGTTCTGGAGGATGAAGTAGGTGGCCCCATCTGGGACTGTGACCTTCACTGTTAGGTCCGTTGTGTGCTGTGAGTGCAGGCAGGCCCCGGGCTAAGTTACAAAGCTTTCGCCAGCAGACGGTGTTATGACTAGATTCTCCTTACAGTTATAATTTTCTTTAGGGTTGATGGGCATTTATGGAGAGTTCAGGTGCACAGTATGGAAGTTTCTTTTTAATGCCAAGAGCTGAACTTTGCCTCATTTAATCCACAGCCATTGTGTTTAGTGAAGGGAATATTAATGTTAGAGATGAGGCAACTGAGATTCAAAAGTGACTTCCCATGGTTCCTCAGCAACTAAGACAGAGCTGAGGTTTGAATTCATGTCTATTTCCAAAGCACACGTGCTCTTGGCTGCTGGCTCCTACCGTGTACGGAGCAGTGTACCAGGAGGTGCTGGTGTATGATGAGAAGGGCACGGTCTGCCTGCAGGAGTCTGATGGGAGAGATAAGATGTGAACACACCTTGATACCAGGCCAGCTGGTGTCTGAGCAGAGATTACGGCCGGGCTGGAGACTGTTGCGTGTAATACCCTTCTCCAGAGTTCTGCCAGTGCAGAGAAGGCTGGCCAGGAGGTGCCTCTTGGGGTGGTGGGCACAGGGGCTTGGAGGAAGAGGCCGAGGGATCTCAAGTGCCATCCCCAGGACAGGGAGCGCCTGCTTGAGGCACTGTTGGCCCCCTGGGCCCTTGGTGGCTCTGCGGGGCCCAGAGGCTCCCCTCCCCTTCCTGCTGCTGCGAAGGGCAGGGCTGCTGTGGTTGGGGCTGAGCCCAAAGCTGAAGACCTCTGCCCTACCCTGCCCTCCAGCCCAGCCCTTTTCTCACCTGAAAGTACCTGGAGGGCAGGGCTCTGGATTAACCCTTCTCTGTCCCAGGCCAGGGCTCCCAGGCTGGGTTCAGCCCTCTATCCTCCCCTCCCTGGCTCCAAGCAGAGCTTCAGAGGAACAACTTCAACCTTGGAAAATCACTCTGCCCCCCTCCCTCCCCCTGTGCTCACTCCTTCTAGAAGTATTGGCAGGGCAGCCAGGCCAGCTGTACTCTCCCTGGCCGGAGGAGAACATTAACCCCTTAGGGGCTAGGGGAAGGAGGGTGATCTTTTAGGGAATCACTGGGGAGTGTGGGCTTCCAGGATGGTTTTTCTAAAGGGACTAGTGGAGTTTAACCCTGGGTATAGAGGTAGGGAATAGGCACTACCCCCTGGGCCATTTTCACTATAGAAACTGGATAGCTTCTCTGTCCCCTGTGGTCCCAGGCAGGGTTCAGGAGGAAATGCCTGGGGCGGTTAACTTTGGGTTCTGCTAAAGTCACTTAGGCAGACTCTTAACATAGCTCTGTCCCCTTTTTCATCTGTCACGGGCTTCTTAATACTGTGCCTACATTTCCTGTCTTTCTCCCTCCCAGGAACCCCCCTTTGGACCGGGCCTTCAATGGGGACCTGGCTCAGCCGGCCAGCTCTGAGCCACCTACTGACGTGAGTTACCCTCCGTTATGACTTGGACTCATAGTAATTTTAAGCTGGAAGGGTCACCTGTGGTCATCTGCTCTATCTCTTTCTGGTTCCGATGGGGCACTGAGGGTCATGGAGGAGGTGATTTGCCCAGGGGCTGGCCCCGGGACTCAGGTTTCTTGACTCCCAGGCCAGTGCTCTTGATCCAGTGTGGTTCAGGCCATGAGGCTGCTCGTTATAAGAATAATTATCCATCGTAACTGCCGTCAGTCACGCACCTACTGTGTGCTGGGCATGTGCCAGGAAGGTTGACTGGCTTAATCCTTGTGATCACTGCAGCTAGTGGGCCCTGTTAGTCACACATGAGAGGCTCACCGAGGTTAAGTAACTTACCCAGGGGCTGAGGCAGGCTCTGGTGCACTGACCAGCAGGGGGCAGATGCTCAATGCAGGAGCTGTCCCCTGGTGGTCAGTGTGCTCCCACAGCCAACCTCCTGTGGTCCCCCCCCCCCCCCCCCCCCGCCCCCCCAAGTCTCCCAACAGTCACACTAACTCCACTTTTCACCTGGGGAAACCGAGGCTTCGAGCAGTAAGCACTGTGCCTGAGGGCACACAGCTAGAAGGGGGTAGACCCACCCAGCATTGAATCAGACCCCAGTCCCCCTCCTGGTTCAGGCTTAGAGGAGGGACACCCAGTGACTTTTATAGGGCTGTGCCACTGGGTTTAAAATTTTCTTCTGCCCCTCAAAACCCCTCAGGCCAATCCTAGGCCAGCGAGGGCCACCCAAGTATCAGCAGTGCTTAGGCTGTGGCTGTCCTACCCTGACTGTCCTAGAAGGGGAAACCCCAGGAGTCTTCCCCCCCTCCCCCAGGCACCCCACCACCGGATGTTCTCAAGCCCTGTCCCATTCTCCCAGCCCAGCCTGGGCCGGCTCCTCCTTCCTCTTGGCACGGCTCTGGAAATCCAGTGGGAGGCCATTGCTATGGCAACAGGACTAGGCCCTGGCTTTTACCTCATCAAATTCCGTGCTGAAGCCAAAGCAATTGAGAAATTAAAGAAAAAAATGTATTCCAGATGTTTACTTCTTATTCCTTATTTTTCCGTGTTTGGATGAGACGGCTCTGAGGGAGGCGGGATTGGGGCAGGGATGTGGATGGAGGAGGAGGAAGGGGGGAGAGGGAACCACTCCCAGCTGCAGGAGGGAGGGAGGGAAGGAGGGTGAGCGGGAAAGGGAAGGCAGGCTGTGGGGTGGAGCCCCAGGTCGGGGAGGAGCGGGTTTTTCCCGTCTCCCCTGAAGTGATTCACGAAGAGGCTTCAGACTCTGGGGCCTTCTTGCTTTGCCCCTGAGTAGATACCTCGAGCGGGCTGCTGCACCCAAGGGGGGCCCTGGGAATAGTAAGTGGGGTGTCTCGGAGAGCTCAGCAGGGGAGGGAAGAGTAGGTAGCTCCCTGAAGCTCCAGGACTTTGTGGTTAGAAGACCAGAGTTAGAGAGTGATCTGGGAAGAATTGAGGATAGACTGCTGGGGACCTCCCTTGACCTCCCACCCGCTCTGAAGTTCCCTCTTCCTGTCCCACACTCTGCCTCTGCTAGAAGTAGCAGGCTTCCCTTGGCCAAGCCTACTGCCAACGCCCAACCCTCTCGCCTTCTCCCTCTTATTTCCCAGGTCTTTGGCTGCCCCTATTCACACCCTCCGCTTCTCAATTCTCATGCAGGTTCTGCCGAATGTGATGAAAGTGTCTGTTCTCAGGGAAGGCACAGCCATGGCTTCCCCACCACCCCGGGAGATGGAGGAGGAGCTGGTATCTGCTGGCTCTGAGCCAGGTAGGTGCCTGTGGGTGCAGGGTGGAGCCGGGTGGCCGGGAGGGCAGTGAGAGGGGTGGAGGCTGAGCCCGCATTCTGTCCTGGAAGGGGTGGGGGAGTGATGATTCTGTTGAGGTGGGAGGGAGGAGGGCAGGATGAGTTTGAAAGGTTCTCAGTTCCTGGTAAGACCCTTTAGAACAGTTAGAGGTCTTAGATCTACAGCAGATAAGAACAAGCTAACCTTCCAAATGATGTGAGTGTTTTGCGAGGAGGAGGCGGGGGCCTAGATGAGAAATGACGTGTACCTATAGGGATTTGAACCCAGGCCTCCTGGCTCCTGTCTAGACTCCTTTCTTAGGCTGAGCCGAATGAGTGGATGATAGAGGTTTCTGTTAGGAGGGCCGTGGCAATGAGTAATCCCAAGGTCTTTTATTTGGCTTTGGAATGCCTTATATAGAAGGTAGGTTCCTAATCTTGTTTTCTTTTCCTGCGGCAGATTTATTTCTGGGTGGGTTAGGTCAATAATAAGTTTGCATTCCTCATCACACACCTGGGGAGGTGGCCTGGGTGTGTCCTGGGGAGGTACAGCCAGGAGGCAGAGTAGGGAGACTCAGCTGGGATAAAAGGTTTGCTGTGGATGGTAGGAGGGTAGAGTGTCATGTAAGAGGACCGGACTAGATTGGAGAAATGTTGGGCTGAGGGCTCGATTATGGGTAGGTAGCATTTGTTTATTGAGTCTTTTTCTCATTCATTCATTCATTCATTCATTCATTCAATAAGAACGTGTTAGATGCAGAGTAGGGTACAGGGACAAATAAGGTGTCAGCTGGACCCTTAAATAGCTTTAGCTTCCAGGAAGGATTGAATAAACATTTTGAGAATTTGGAGACAGAAGGTGCTTCTGGGATAGGTATGGTAAACCAAGGAAGGCTTCATGGAAGAGGTGACATGTGGCTTGTGCCTTGAAGGTTGTCAACATTTTGAGTTAATAGGGAGGAGATGAAGAAGTCTACATCCTGGTTCTTCTGACAGCCTCCCCAACCAACCCTTTCCTTTTGGTAGGTGACCCTCGGGCCAAACCTCCTGTCAAGCCCAAACCCCGGGCCCTGCCTGCCAAGCCAGCCCTGCCTGCCAAGCCCAGCCTGCTGGTGTCTGTTGGGCCGCGGCCACCCCGGGGTCCTCTGGCTGAGCTGCCTTCTGCCCGGAAGATGAACATGCTGGCAGGACCCCAGCCCTATGGTGGCAGCAGGCGTCCCCTTCCCTTTGCACCAAGACCGCCGGCCGAGACGTCTACTGGAGGAGAAGCCACTCAAGAGGCTGGGAAAGAGGAGGCTGGGAAAGAAGAGATGCCTCCGTTGACACCCCCGGCTCGATGTGCTGCCCCAGGGGGTGTGCGGAAGGCCCCCGCCCCCTTCCGTCCAGCCTCTGAGCGCTTTGCAGCCACCACAGTGGAAGAGATTCTGGCCAAGATGGAGCAGCCGCGGAAGGAGGTCCCCACCAGCTCTGACCGCCTCTGGGGCTCCCGCCTCACCTTTAACCACGATGGTAGCTCAAAATACGGCCCCAGGACCTATGGTGTGGCTACTGGTCCTGTGGATGAGGATGGTGGGACCCTCTCCAGGGAATGGTCCCAGGAGGGGCCTGCGAAGTCTCCCACAGAGTGCCCTGAAGAGCACAGCCAGACCCCCGAGGAGAGGTGAGGGGCGGGAGGCTGTTGCGTTCTGGAGGATGAAGTAGGTGGCCCCATCTGGGACTGTGACCTTCACTGTTAGGTCCGTTGTGTGCTGTGAGTGCAGGCAGGCCCCGGGCTAAGTTACAAAGCTTTCGCCAGCAGACGGTGTTATGACTAGATTCTCCTTACAGTTATAATTTTCTTTAGGGTTGATGGGCATTTATGGAGAGTTCAGGTGCACAGTATGGAAGTTTCTTTTTAATGCCAAGAGCTGAACTTTGCCTCATTTAATCCACAGCCATTGTGTTTAGTGAAGGGAATATTAATGTTAGAGATGAGGCAACTGAGATTCAAAAGTGACTTCCCATGGTTCCTCAGCAACTAAGACAGAGCTGAGGTTTGAATTCATGTCTATTTCCAAAGCACACGTGCTCTTGGCTGCTGGCTCCTACCGTGTACGGAGCAGTGTACCAGGAGGTGCTGGTGTATGATGAGAAGGGCACGGTCTGCCTGCAGGAGTCTGATGGGAGAGATAAGATGTGAACACACCTTGATACCAGGCCAGCTGGTGTCTGAGCAGAGATTACGGCCGGGCTGGAGACTGTTGCGTGTAATACCCTTCTCCAGAGTTCTGCCAGTGCAGAGAAGGCTGGCCAGGAGGTGCCTCTTGGGGTGGTGGGCACAGGGGCTTGGAGGAAGAGGCCGAGGGATCTCAAGTGCCATCCCCAGGACAGGGAGCGCCTGCTTGAGGCACTGTTGGCCCCCTGGGCCCTTGGTGGCTCTGCGGGGCCCAGAGGCTCCCCTCCCCTTCCTGCTGCTGCGAAGGGCAGGGCTGCTGTGGTTGGGGCTGAGCCCAAAGCTGAAGACCTCTGCCCTACCCTGCCCTCCAGCCCAGCCCTTTTCTCACCTGAAAGTACCTGGAGGGCAGGGCTCTGGATTAACCCTTCTCTGTCCCAGGCCAGGGCTCCCAGGCTGGGTTCAGCCCTCTATCCTCCCCTCCCTGGCTCCAAGCAGAGCTTCAGAGGAACAACTTCAACCTTGGAAAATCACTCTGCCCCCCTCCCTCCCCCTGTGCTCGCTCCTTCTAGAAGTATTGGCAGGGCAGCCAGGCCAGCTGTACGCTCCCTGGCCGGAGGAGAACATTAACCCCTTAGGGGCTAGGGGAAGGAGGGTGATCTTTTAGGGAATCACTGGGGAGTGTGGGCTTCCAGGATGGTTTTTCTAAAGGGACTAGTGGAGTTTAACCCTGGGTATAGAGGTAGGGAATAGGCACTACCCCCTGGGCCATTTTCACTATAGAAACTGGATAGCTTCTCTGTCCCCTGTGGTCCCAGGCAGGGCTCAGGAAGAAATGCCTGGGGCGGTTAACTTTGGGTGCTGCTAAAGTCACTTAGGCAGACTCTTAACATAGCTCTGTCCCCTTTTTCATCTGTCACGGGCTTCTTAATACTGTGCCTACATTTCCTGTCTTTCTCCCTCCCAGGAACCCCCCTTTGGACCGGGCCTTCAATGGGGACCTGGCTCAGCCGGCCAGCTCTGAGCCACCTACTGACGTGAGTTACCCTCCGTTATGACTTGGACTCATAG